TGTCGAACCGCAGTCCAAGATTTGTTACTACAACAATAAGAGTTCAGGTGCAATGTGTGGCGTATCCCAAAGGGATTCATGCAGCGTCCAGCGTTTTGTTTATACTGCCACTATAGATCGAACTATTAAAGAATCTAAAATAATTATACAGCTGTTACCTAGATGTTAGAATCACTTTATCAGGCTGACGTTACTTCCTCGAAATTATTTTGAAATTTGAAATTAATTGGAATTTTTGAAGAATTTGAATAATTTTTTCAAAAAGCTTTGAAAAAAAAGTTTGAAAAAATAACCTGAGAGATTTCTAGGCTGTTAACGAAAGCGGGCGAAGCAGAAACGTAGGCTGTGAGTAATAGGTGATCTTATATCTTAGGGTCACAGCCTTTTTACCCTCCTTTTAATTCCCTCTATACAATTTATATCAAGATTCGGAGTTCATAAAGTGCAGAGATTCAATCGATAAGATACGCACATGGATGTCCATATATAAGAATCTGTATGGAATATGTGAATTACGTTCAAAGTATTTTTCAGAAGGGTGCGCACCGCATTGTTATCCGGCAGTTCCAGTGCTGGCCTGGCTATTCTACTAGCAATATGCATTATCACTGGAGTTGCCTTTCTCAACGTCATGGACTGGTTTCCATTCTGAGGCATCGTCACAAGTTTTAAGCAAACGATTTTTGACATAATTCAACTTATGGCTCATTTTCTCGGGTATCTTTAGAAAGTTAAAGGAAGCGATTACGATAGCATCCCGTAAGGGGTTTAGAGGGAGGTGGCAGGTCTTAAATAGCTACGCAATGCAACAAGCCAAAGAAATCCGTCGGCGAAAATAATCCAGATCGTTAAAAACTAGTGGGCGTTACGTCACTGGGGGCGGAGCGTCACACGGGTCCTGCTCAGCAACCACAGCACCTTTCGCCGTGGGAGGACCACACATCGCTTCCTTGGCAGCCAAGTAATTGCTCCGTGTGGCGCAGGTTCTCCCCCGATGCGAAAATTCCTTATCGTAATCGCTTCCTTTAAGGCTCTGAGTTATTCTGAATTTACCAGCGGGCAATATGCCATGATACCATGACAGTCGTGTTTACTGTTTTTGGATTTTTAGGGTAGTAAAGTATTGTATTCCAACTTACAGCGTCCAATACATTACATCCGAGTGTGGTCGAGACATGAAAATTAGGAAGTTGTAAACGGCATGGCGCGCGCCATTCAAGCATAAACACACAGAAATTTGCGTTTAGCTACAGATAACAGCTCAGACTTCGAAAAAAAAAAATGGCATTATTTTCACCTTGTGGCGCAATTTTGTGCGCTGGCGAAATATTCATGTCCTGACCCGTATCCGCCCTCCGAGCGGGATACACTTCAAGATTCGGGGTTCTATTTTCAGTTGTGAATTACTTCTCACAAGAGTGGACGCAGTCACTACAATATGTACACGCGCTATGCGCCAAGCGCCAGTGAAAGAGCACTGGATAAAGACTCATGAACCAAGTGCAGTAAGCAGTCAGGAAAACGCCGCCTTGGACGCGCCAGGGTGAGGGTGGGTCTATCGGTGAATGTCGCGGCGATCAAGTTCAGGCGCTCTGAAGGGGTACAGACCCGATCTTGGATGGCCATGTGGTGGAGATCGTTAAAGCGAGAGGACTCTTAATACCTCTGGAGCGATTATTCGCTTGTGGCAGTGTGTATTAGGTACTAAAGGCACGAATAATCCCCCCCGCCACGGCAAAGATAAAATGAGGAGGTCTCTACTGGGACACTCTGCGGCCAGAATGCCTGCGACACGTTCCAAGGAAGAGCTCCCTTCCGAAGATAGTTGCGGAAACAACGACATGGACACGTTTTATGGAGACACAGAATCACCTTTCGAAAAAGCAATGGACTTGAAACGCAAGACAAGCGACTGGCAAGCAGCCTTCAAAAGAAAGGTAGAGAGAAGTATGTCAGAGGAGAAAGAAATAAAAAAAGTAACAACGGGACTAATTTTTGAACTGCTGATCTTTCAGGAACGCTTGGGTGCTCGTTAGAAAGCTTGAAACCTGTAGTTTATTATACCGTGTTCAGCTTCCCAAATGAATGACTTTGAAGGAAGTTATGATCGTTTGAAGGTAAAAAAGTCGCGGTTCCAAAAAAATAGTAACGCAAACCCCCAAAAAAGTAACAACGGGACTAATTTTTGAACTACTGATCTTTCAGGAACGCTTGGGTGCTCGTTAGAAAGCTTGAATCCTGTAGTTTATTATACGTGTTCAGCTTCCCAAATGAATGACTTTGAAGGAAGTTATGATCGTTTGAAGGTCAAAAAGTCGCACTTTGCACAGAAAAAAGTAACAACGTACTAAATTTTTAGTTAAATTAACTTTCGAAGAATTTTTACTTTACCTATGATTGACGAGAAGAGAATAATTTGAGTTTTCCAAATCAAATCACTTCGGCGCAGAAGCTCGAATATGAAGGAAGTTATAGCCCTAGAAAGAGGAGTGTAAAAATTCGTGTTTCAATTTTATTTTTTGCCTAATAACTTATTCATTCCGAAGTGTTTGAGAACAAATGAGCACTCGTTAGGAAGGAGGAGCCACATCGATCCAAAATCCACCTGAATCTTCCGAAACTACCTGAAATGTAAAAAAGAAAAACTCCTCGAATTTTCACACTCCCCGTTCGACGCCTCTTGACCGTGAGCAAATGCGCTCCGTCAGGAGGCTAGGGACTTACGTAGCAATAAATAGTGATGGCAACACTGCCTCTACACAAGTGTTACATACAAGGGGGGGGGGTCGTATCAAATCACCCATGAAGGGGGGGGGTCGTAAAAAATTTCCGAAGAGTAACAACGATAGGGTTGACCCTGTCGACGACCCCGCAGGTTGGGCACGCGACGCAAAATGGGGGGTTATGGAGAAGAAGAAGGACAGTTTTTGACGCTCTATTTTCGTCCGAGGCGCTTGAACGGGCGCGATTGGCTGCGAGTGCAGCGCACCGTAGTGGCAATACACACACGATATGATATCACGCCGTCCTAAGCGCAGTCAAAAAGGCAGCGCTAATATATGGTCTTATGATGGTTACGTAATGTTAAAGATGCGCATTATCCCCGTCACGGGCTTTCCAAGTCATCACTGCTAAAAATTCGCACCCGTTCATCGCCTTTTACTTTTTACTGGTTAAACCGTACAAATCAACTTCGTGATAATCAAAGAGATCCTACAGCTGCGCCATGGGCCAATTCTATGGGCAGAACTGGAGACCAGAGAGATCCATTATTGGAGGTCACTGGTCGTTCTCTTTGTTGATGTAACGTAACCCTCTTGTTTCAATGTACATCCCTATTCCTTATGAAGACTTACTGGTTATTCTTGAGCACGTCATGCGCACCCATGCCACCTTTTGGGCAATATGTTGTCTGTGCAGACATGGGTAAAAAATCCTTTCTGAAGCTCCGTTTCCCAATGAGTGCTGCCCCAATAAAAGGGTTCTATTTGGTGTTCGGTTAGCAATGCGTTTTATGTAAAGCAAAAATGTCTGACTCGAAGTGAACATTCCATAAAGGACAAATTTTAGGATGATTTGTGTTACCCCAGAAGTGACCAGCAGTTTGGCCCGTGGTTTGAGGCATTTATTCGGTGTTTTTATATATGAGATATTTTGTACTGTACAGCTATATTTGCTTCAAGGCACTAATGAAATCGTCCTTTTTTGTCACCACTAAGAATAAATACGTTAACGAGATTTCTCTTGGTTTTTCATGTCATTAATCTGTTTATACTTAATATTTATACAACAACATCACTTGGATCTCAACTAACTCAGTCGATTCATCAGTAACAACAAAAAAGGCCCAATAACGAATACTCGATGTACTCTACCGATCGTGCATGTCAAAAATAAAAATAAAAATCAACTTATCATTACTCAACAGAACAATCAGCACTATACGCACTAGTTGAGAACATCGTGCGAGATCCCTTGCGATTTCGTTCTTTATTTCTTCAAACGCACACCAGGACAGGATGTGAGGGGATTTCGCTGCGTTGCGCCGTTACGAGCGATGGTCAATTTGGTCCTGGAATAGACTAAAGCGTCGCAGCCTTGCGTGTTCGCGCCGACCTGCCCGCGACATTTAGGGTCCGGCGCCATTCTAACCGCTCAACTTCCCATTTCCAAGGGCGTTCTCCACCTAAACAAAGGGCTAGCACTGGAGCGCCAAGTGGCCAGGTAAAGAGCGCAGATGAGAGAAAAGTTGAGCGGTATGGGAGGCTAAATCTCGGAAAAAATCAGCGCGTGGAGATGTGGCATGTGTTTTTGGGGCACTGTATCTCAGTACTGGTCCTATACAATTCGACGATACGTGGACGTTTGACCCAAACAAAGAGGTACCCGATAGGAGGTCCGCTGTGCGGCGAGAAGGCAGAGACGCAGACGTAGCGCGTACTGCAGCGATTTGGCGTTTAGTTTAATGTCCCAAATCGCCTATACGCGCTGCAACTCGCCCGCTGACCCGTCTGCGTCTCTGCCTTCTGGCCGCGCGACGGGCCTCCTGTCGGGCATCTCAAACAAAGCGACAACGGCTGTGAATCCCGCAACGACTCGACGTGTCAGGGGATGGCCACAAATCGTGTTTCCATACCCGAATAGAAAGAGCTCAGAGGGTTATTATAACACGAACAAAAGAAATGACGTTAGACCGCGTATGAAATATCAGACGTTAAAACGTATAATGAAACAGACATCGTAGAAAGTGCAAAGGCAAGTACAATGAATATTGATCGCATCATCGAAAATAAAAACAATAGGCATGCACAGAGAGAATAACTTAGGTAGATAAAACAAAAAACAGCGATCAAAGCAAAAAGCAAAGTCGTGAGAGAAGACAGCCGGTGATATCGGCGTGATAAAACAGTGATATGGGCAATTGTTATTGCCCATGGGACGATTTAGCAATACATTTCTGAGATAGTCATAATGCTCGATGTGTATAGATACGTATTTCATCAGTCTCTTTTGGTCTTCATCCTCGTCCATTGAATCAGGGTCGCAGGTGATCGGAACAGGAAGATCAATTTGGCAAATAGGTCCTGCAACGAATATACTTCTGGGTCTTTTGTAGCGGAACAGGGCTGGAAATGGGCCTTCGAAACTTCTCATGTCTACTGCGGTCAATGACACATTTGTTTCTGCAATACCAACAAATTATGGGATGGCCAAGTAGTGCGAAGCTGTTCAGAGCCCCTCTCGCCTGGTGTGCTGCTGATACGCCCTGAGCAAAAGGTCAGTGCGTCGTTTGTCGCTGATGTTCTTGAGAAGCCGACCGCCTGATATAGGTCGGAGTTCGGAGAAGGGAAAGCCCAGCAGTGGATGGGCGTACTCTAAAGGTGTGAACCAAAGGAGCGCAGCGAAGGATATGCCCAGATCTAGCTTAGCCGTCTCCGTGCCGCAGCACGCATACTCTCTCGCCGTCTGAGTCGTTTTAGTCGTTTAGTAGCAGGAAGATAGAACGTTAGCGGTGAAGAGGGCAGCACCGATCAGAGTCATCTTGTGCAGAAATCAAGGGCAAAAGAGGGGCTCATTTCTTGGGGTATGAGCCGTTTTTCGTGTTATTTCTCCAACCCTGCACTACTGACAATCTCCACCTCAACTCTTAGGAGCTGCCTTTCCATTGAAAGCTCTGCTTAGAATTCATGAGGAATAGACGAAGTCGGTGGCTGCGCTGCACTCCGTGGGACGGGAGCGGTCGCAGCACTGCCAACACAAGTTTCTGTAGTTTTTGGGCTCCCTGAACTCTTTCCATAACCCGTCAATGCGTGAGAAAATCGAACCTTTATCAGCATTGCCCTTCTACTCTCTTTTATTAATTCCAACTCTGGTGTAGTCCGGGACATAAGAATTGCAGAGGTGCGCAGAAAGGGCATTATGCACGGCGCGACAACCCGTCCTCACGCTGTCTCTTGAGGAACACGGTCCATGCATGACGAAATCTACTGCGTGCGTCGTTACTGTCCCCAGATGCTGGCCCACCCCTCTCACCCCAAACTTCTAAAAATAACTGCAAACAATCACTGACCTGTTCTAGGAAGAAGTCCTTAGCCTCCCTGACAAGGTAGATGTCGAGACAGATCTTCAGTAAGAAGTCCGGATTTGGAATTTCTGTTATCATCACTTCCGTCGGTGAATGAGTGAACAATGCTCGAATCAAACGACCCACAACGATCACCAACGAGATGTACATCGCAATCACACTAAACAGATAATTATCGTATACCGAAATGAGGAAGCAATAAACGTATAGGATGGGAGTAACCGGAGCTTCATACCTCTTCAATTTTAAAATCAAATTCGGGGCAGAAGTTCGAAACCTTCACCAAGGAATTGTCAGCTGTTGACCGAATTTCAGCTGATACTCTGATCACGCGCGCTGGGTTGCAGCGGCAAATTCCGCGCGACGGCTCATGCATAACCAAATGTTGGGGGCGATGTAGAAAATCGCACGGCATAGAAAACGCATACCGTTTTGAACACACTTATTATTTTTTGCTATACAAATCATACCAGGGTTTTATCCAGTTAGCGGGGGGGGGCATGTGGTGCGCCAGTTGCTGTCGCCTGCAAAAATCTCAATTTTGGCAGAGAGAAAATCTCAGGTGTGCGTGAATCATTTCACCGACACTTTTACCCCGACCCCTGGGCTTCCTTCCTCTGCGAAAAATCAGGTTATTTCAGGCGATATAAACCAGGGTGAATAACGGTCGAGGAATCCTCGACCATGGCTCTGTACTGTGTGAGAGTAGTGTCGAGAGTGAATGTACGCGCGGAGAGCACAGACGGCTCGCGCGTGGCGAGAGTGAATGTCCGCGCGGGAGAGCGTAACTGAACAGGCGAAAATCCTCGACGAGTCGTCGACAAATCCTCGACGGACTTTCACCGTGATATGAGCAGTCGCACCACATGCCACCTCCCCGTTTCGTGAGTGAGACTCCAGTTATTGCTCAACTTACCCTCCTTGCAGATATTTGGCGAAAAATGACGGGAACGCTTTGTCGACAAACGCTATGGTTTGTACGTAGGTGCGCTCACGATCCGTTCCATAAGTGATTTTGGACGCGTTGAAGTAGACGTTTGTGTACTGAGATGGATGTTCCGTCTGCGCGACCCACACATTCTGAAACTAAGCAGCTGAAGATCACATTTTGCAAACTTGACGGAAGCATGATCAGAAAAGTCGCCTCGCGACCGTGCGCTTATATTCAACGTACTGCGACGACCGCGCAAAAGCAACAAAATTTCACTTTAAAGTAAGAGCTGAAATGCTGACACTTACCCCTGTTGTTGAATTCACCAATGACAGTTTAACGGTATCGAACCAATCACGGTCGGATGCATTTTTCGGACGTTGGTAATTGTCTTGATTGTATTGAATCGCTGATACAATAGGTGTTGGAATAGTGACTGCGCCTTCGTTCGGTACCAGCAAATAGCTCGGGAACGCTTCCGGTAATGATATCTGAATATTTTCTTGTATTCCCTATCTTTAATCATTATCAGACCTTGCATGATTTGTAAGCTGGTAAAAAATCGATATTTTAAAAGGTCGACATATCTAACGAAGTCGTACCCTGATGCTTGAAAGTGGTTTGAAGAAAGATAGGGGATTCGTGAATTAGATTGGCGGCGCTGTCTCGGAGAGCGGGTTCATGTTGAAAGTTTCAACTATATTGAGCGGGTGGAGCTCTAGAAGAATATGAAGTGGAGAAGACTAGGAAAATTTTTAGATCGTCTGCTGTTTCTGTAGCCACGTTTGCTCATTTAACCCTCACCTATTTCTCTCCCCCCCCCCCCTTCGGTCATTGGATGAGAAAGTCAGCATGTCAGCTGATAGATTCGAATACCATAGAAAAACTATATATGACGGTGAGGGTTGCGGGATGAGGTAAGAGAGAGAGGTCGTATTGGGGACCACCTAATAAGCTGTTAATGGAACGAGATCCTATCAAAATTCCCACAGGAGAAGGGGAGGAGCAAGCTCATAAAATTCCTGGAATTGGAACGAGTCCTGAGCGCAAGTTCTTATATTTATGTCACTAAAGCATACCGTTTGGCCTGCGCCTTGGCTCTGCAGGATTTGATTCCATTCCGAGCGCAGTTCGCTGTTTGGTTCGATTTCAATAGACCACTGGGTAGCGTGTTTCTGTACATCCTTCTTCTTCACGTCATATGGCCGAGAGAACTCGACAGCGACAATGAAGTTTATCGAAGAGTTGCCGCTCAGCTGTTCACTACAAACAACCATTTGTTAATAGATAAAACGAACAATTCGACCAACAGGGTCAAAACATAAATATTATGTTTCCAAAATTATATGTAGTGCAGTACTCACATCAATGCATTACGAGACGCCTCTGAAATTCCCCACGGTACTTCAGATTCGGGACGGAAATTGACCACCTGAAACAAATGAGCAAATCGCACCTCACTCAAATGGGTTGTAAGGTACTACGCAAGCATGCTATATATGACCTGCGGGGTTACAAAGAACGTAAAGAGCACTTGTAAGGCTTACTCGTATAATCGCCTGGTTGAGATACTCTTTCAAAAACGATACACTATCACGTGACCGCTTCATTGAATCGGTACTGTTCGTAGATGGGAAATACCTGAACGAAATTTCGATGCAGCCTTCCGAAAAAAAGCAAAACAATTATGGAGACTCAGCAGCTTACCTTCGACTCATTGTATCGGTCAAATACTTCAACTCGTCAGATGTCATGGGACGCAGTTCGGATCCTTGGGCTTCAATCTCATACAGGGGCTAAATAAATTGTCATTATTCGAAACTGAAGATTCAACATGAATGTAGGAAATAATATCCGAAAAAAACCTACCGGGTAACCTTCCAGCGACATTGTTAGCCGTACTCGGTCAGGAATCGAAATATCACCTGCAAGTGATTGTAATGGAGTGAAAAGAAAAGCAAAGAAAAAATCACTGACCTATCCGATTCATCAATGAGAACGCCAGTAACGGACACCAAACCAGGAAAATGATGAGCAGAATCATTGGCAATCCCATCATGTATTTAACGATGACACCTTTTGGTTCTCCTCGTGGCGATGGGTAACTCTGCAAAAGACCATCGGCAATTACAGAACGAAAATAACTAAGTAGCGTCCGCCACGTTTTGGTCCACTATCATGACCTAAGCAATACGGAACGCATCGACTAGAATGTCTCATCCAAACTCCGCCTACCCCGGTGCACGTCCCGCCCCCTGAAAACATTCGGTTCTCTTCTTCGGTCAGTACTTATTCACTTTCTCTCGTCTCCAGGTTCCTCGGAAAATAATGATTCTTGATTCTAGTCTCTGTGGGTGTACTTCCGCTCACTCAACCCGTTACTCTTACCGGAAGAATATTTACCTCTACAATGTACCACTTTACTACTAGGAGTTCAATAACTATCAAGTACAATTCACTCATCTTTCAAAAAGCCAATTCACAATACAGAACAGCTGTTCCCTAAAATGCACTGAAAAGACAATATTAAGAAAAAAATCGCTCATAGCCTGAAGGGGTACAATTTTCAACTTTCCAGGGGTTTTTAAGAATCTAGTTATAAACTTTCTATCGAGCCCCCCTCATTTAAAAAAAAAAAAACCCTGCCTATCTTCAACTAGGTCCGCCAGTCTGATAGTACTAACCGTATGCAAGACCTTGCTAATTTTTTGTCCTCTGCATTGCTCTGGAATTAGTCGAAGAATATGTTCAAACGCTAGTTTCGCTGCCGCTCAATGCATTCCACACACCTAGTCCCTAGCCCAGTCATGTTCCCCCCCCCCATCCAACTTATCCTGTCTTTCCAGGTGCTTACCCTCATTAGTATCTAAAAGCTGTGGAAATGTGTGGCCTAGAAGAAACAGCTCTAACTATTCTTCTCCTTTTTCTAAACAAGCTTTATTGTATTCAAGAAAACGCTTGCACTCACCTGCTCAAACTGCCGTGCACATTTCAAGTTATAAATGACAGCATAGAAATTTTCCATGTTGAAGAAATCGAATAATGGCATCGATGTGTCGGTCCAGGTCCAATCAATTGCTGTGCGGAGTTCGAAGAGGAACGGAATCAGCATGAATCTGAACAACGAAGGAGCTTCCGGAGCATGTAACCTCTTCAACCTAGAAGAAAGCAAACCATACTTACATTTTGAAGAAAATCATATTTGCCAATCCATAGGCATGGGTTAGGAGGTTACCAGTGCAGAGCTGTGGGTAGCCGTTACGGATCTGCCATGCCGACACCAACAGGTACATGCACTTTACGACATATAAAGCCTGCGCTACAGTATTCTCCATAGCAGAGCTGAAAGAGCAGGGCTATCAAACAATAGGAAATTCCTAATCTTTTGCAGTGAACGGTTCATTAGTTGAGCTTACTATAACACAAGGTAGAGTAAAGGCTACCGTATCCGTAATCGCGGATCAAATACCAATAGGCAATCGAGTTTGATGCAATCTCCTCCCACAGTTCAAGGCGCCTCCTACTTCAGCCCTCCGCCCCCACCCCTACTCCTGACTCCTTACTGAAACGGCCACACATCTCCTAGATTACCGTTGATTCTGTCGCCCCTTCGATTTAACATAAGTCACCCTTTGCTAACGAGACTAAGGCCGCGTTCATAGTTCGCGACTCGGGAGATTAGGATAGTAGGCGACAGGATATTAGGATAGTAGTAGAGTAGGAGATTGCGCTGACAAGATTGGATACGTATCGATTGAAATCGCTGGAGAGTAGTAGATTGGGCGACTTCAAGCGAATAGATCAATACATATCTAATCTTGTCAGCGCACTATCCTAATCTACTACTATCCTAATCTCCTACTCTACTACTATCCTACTATCGTAATATCGCAATCTACTACTCTCCGGC